AACTGATTAGCTTAGCTAATAGTTTATGAGACTGAGGTACGATTGGTCAAATGGATGGCGAACAAGTCTCTTTAACTTGGTCACTTTTAATACTGACCATTTCTTGAACTGAATTTCAAGTTCAGTAGTTGTGACTGCCCATCACTTTGAACATCACCTCTATAAGAAAGTCTCTATGCATCAAGAGTATACTGTCAGTATATTTATTCTTCTATTTCATAAAATATCAAATTATTCAATAACTATTTTTTTAAGTCATGATGACAGCTTGCACATTTATTCAAATAGATTCTTTTAAGATATGAAACCTTCATTTTATCATGACTTGTTTCTATTTCCTACAGAAATCTTTTACAAATCTCCTTACTAAACTATCTTGACATTTAAAAGTGTTAAAACGAAGTGAGTTGAGATTAAATTGATTGTGATATTGATTGATTTTACTGATTGATTCTATTGATAATCAATATAAACCTCTCTTAGATTGTCTTACTTTCTCTCAACATGTCCTACATGAACAATTCACTATTGTTAAATCTGCTTCAACATTGTCAAATCTCACTATTGCAACAGGAATTGTTTGCCTATTTCACAAGACACTTAACATTGGTCAATACTATTTCAATACAGATTCAATATCAATTATAAAGGTGTGGGCACACAAGCAGTCTTGATCGGAGCCTTTTGTCTTGAGTAAAATTTCGTGTGTGCCCGTGCTTCCACAATAATAAAATTATTGTGTCGCCGACAGGATTTGTAATATTAAACAAGTTTGATACTTGTCTCCGATAGTTTCATCGTCTGCAAGACAGACTCTTATCATCTAATCAGATTCCTTTTCCTTTCAATTGCATGCTCTGCATGTGATTATCGACAAGGAAAGCGACTGTCTGGAGATTTTTGTCTCCTCTAGTGCCAGTCGTTGAAACTCAAGGACAAAAGTCTCTGACCAAGACCTTTAGCTGGATGCTCTCCTTTCAAAACACATGGTGTAGTGAGTGAGTCAGTTACTAGCAATTATGGATGTTGTCTAAATCAGAAGAGATCTAACTGGTTATTCAACAAAAAGTTTAATTGTTTAATTGGTGAAGAAACACAACATTCAATAACCTACAGATCAAGAATAAGAAAATTAGTGTACAACTTGATATTTATTCTTATTTACTTAATGTTTAAGAATAGATATACCATACAAAGACAAAAATATCTTTTTTTTTGGCAAGGGAGACCAATCTGTTCATAATCAATAATCTGATTTCTAAATATAACCCAAAAAATACATGTTCACAAAAAATATTTTCACAGCTTGCTCTTATTTCCATCTTGAATTAGTAGATATGTGAAAAATATCAGCCTTGTTAAGAAATCAATCAATCAATGGCTTCAATTCTAATAAATCCTTGTGTCCTAAATAAGAAAATATTAACCTTACAATGCCCATGACAATCAATTTTTTCAACAAAAAAATAGCCAGTAGCAGTTAAAAAGTACAACAATGTCAGGTCATGACCTAATGTACTAAGAACAGTAAAATGTCAAAAAGATGGACAGGTTAGGTCAATTGATAGACAATGTGATAACAAAAACAGCCGACTCAGCAGGAACAAAATAAAAGAAAATAACTCGTTCAGTGAGGTATATACCTTGTAAGGAAATATAAATTCATATCAGATGAATTTTATAAAGTGAAACTAACTGACTCATCAGGTAATTTCATCTCTATATTTGTGAAATTGGACAGTGTTTTGAGGCAAAAACACAGGAACATAAAATAAAGTACTGCAAAAATGTTTCCTTTTTGGCTGACTTTTTTCATGCTAAGATTGAAGTCCAAAAAGATTGGGCTGAAGCTGCTATACTCAATTTCACTTCACTCTATTTCATACTAACATTTCTAGCTGTTTTTCTATTTACTAAAAGTGGAATCTAGAAGCCCACATGCAATTAACCATTTTTCAAATGCAATAATATGGCAAAATGCCTGAGATTAAATAGAGTAAAATCTCAACTTATAGAAGAGAAGGAATGGGGAATTCTGTCAAGTTAATGAGAAGGAGATAAAAAGCTTGAAAAGGTTATAAAAAAACTGGCACTGCATGTTAAGTGGTTCCAGATTAACTATAAATAGATCGAGTCAGTTCTATAATTAGATGATATATGGCCTGGTAGTCAGTGGGTTATTTTCACCAGCTGCAAGTCGTGACCTGAACTAGGCATACTAACTCACTATTTTCCTCTTTTTATTATGAAATATGAATGAATCACCACATCAAGCATTCACCTTTCTATAGAGAATTCTATTTGGGGGTGACTGAAACAATGGCAATATTAATCATCTTACTTGTATTTAAAGGGGAAAAGTAATCTAAATAATTCAATTTAATGGTGTCACAAGAGAGGCAGGGCATGCCCACTCTTAGGGAGCACTTGAATTCACTCTGTGATTAGTTTTTGCATCTACAACAACTCAATAACTCATAGTCTTGAATGTTACTTAACATTAACACATAGAATCACCATAATCTAACAAACCTACTCTCTCTACCAGAATTGATGATAGGTATTAGACAATTCTATATACACAGATTACAGGTGCTCGGAAGTAGGATATTTATTCTGACCATTTTAATGGCTAATAGTTTTCCAACAGCTGATCAAAAGAATAATTAGTCATTTATACAATACTTTGGACTCTCAACTGTCAAATGGTAAGCTACATGGGTTTGATAAAGATCTTCAGAATGACTACATATATAATCAGTGAGCCTACTTGCTAAAATAAAAGTGTAAAGTCAAGTAATAATTATGATAATGATGTCACATAGTAGATAATATGACACTGATAAAAGCAGTGGAAGATAACGAGAGATCAGATAGTCTAAATAGTCATTTACCTCCGTCAGTTAACTGACGTAAATAGTAAAGTCATGATGTAAAGTGATAGAAAAACAGCTGATTTTATACTAATCATAAGTCATTAACTAGGCTTAAAACTACATTCTAGTCATCTGTTATCAGATAGTATAAGTGCTTTTAAATTTGATATGATTTAGTTTAAGCTTATTATATCATTTTCAGTACATTCTTTCTATATACAATACATTTATCTAACAACTACATCCACGCTCTGTTTTAATATTTTGTATTGTTGTACATAATGCAATATTGTATATGTTCTGAAAAGACACTTTCTGAAACACTGGCTGTGGCATCAGAATTTTTCTAAACTCGATAAGGGTTCTAACCCACAGCACCTTAACACCTCGCAGATGACATATTCAAATCGCTACTGACTAGCTATTCCACTGGATTTTTTAAGTACACAGCCACATCCATCTTATTTCATTAATTACACATGTCTGAGACAGTAGTTACTATCAAGTTAAATAATTAAGCTAAATAGACCAATCAATCCCATCCAATCAAAGACAATATTTCTTTCTCTCTGATATACCAAGATATAATTATTGAAATCAAAATTCAAAACCAACATTTGGAATGCAATGCTCATGTCAGGATTGAAATTTTTGTGTTTATTTACATATTAGTGTTTTGATCATGACAATTTTCCATATGAAACAATTATAGGGATCAAAAGTTTTGACTCAAAACCACCATATATACAAAGCTTAGATGAAAAAGTCAGTCAAGACTGGCATAGGGTAAAAATTTTCCATTATCTAAATGTCAAGCTTGATCTGCTATGGAATATCACTTTAGTCTTACATCAATTCCACAAATCATACTTCAGATATATAACTTACTGAATCTAATTTCTCAGTAAAGAAATAGTGTGTATATTTTGATAGGAAACAGAATCTAATTGATCGGTCATATCAGCTTAGAAATCAATAAACCTACCAACATTGTGTTATTGTTACAATTATATTTCTTCAAGTATCAAGATCAGAGTAGCCAAAATAGAGTCAGTTTTATCAACAAAAGCTTGCATGAACATAGTCGAATAAGCTTTAGTCAGATAATTCTGTGTAAGCAAACTCTGTTTTTTTGGGCTATTTTCTTTCTTATATCATAACCCACTTTCTTCATCCTTAAGCTTATAAAAAGGACTACCGGTACCATTAATATTCCTTAAAATTAAATATCAATTGAATACACTGCCAGATATAAAACAAAGATATCCTTATTCCAATCAGTGTGCAAACTTGTCAGGTGGCTCACCATTATAAGATTTTTTTTTTCAGACAAATAAATAGAAGATAAAGACATCAAAAAAATGAGACCATTACTAAATAATTTTATACAATTTGAAGGATGGGCAATCAAACACACCCAAAATCCTGCTTTAGCCATAATGTTATCTAGTAGTAGAATTTTACTACTGCTATACCAAATCAGCTGGCTGTCTTATATATGAACAAATTCTTAACAAACTTATCATAATTAGCATTAGATTCATTTAAGAATCAATTCAAACGCATTAAGTTATGAAAAAGCTTTAATGTACGCCTATTTGAGTTGATGTTAGGTAATTTATGTGCTCAATTCATAACTAGTTTGAATTTTCTTTAACACACATGCATTGCCATTATTCAACGTTTGGTTCTTGAAACTTTATAGACCTATTAAGAAGGGGGCGGTAACACATTAAACAACAGGGACCTTCACTTGGTGGCACAACCCCTATTCAAATTGTACATAATTCTAAGGTCAATTCAAGCTAAGCACAATACTTGATAATGACCAATCATAAATTGTAATTAACATTCAAATTGTGACATTTTTATTTGACATAGATGTTTCATCATCATCTAAATATCTGAAAACATGCATCTTAGACTTAGTTGGTCTATTCAATTTGCTCAATGAGATGACAGTTTAGCAGATTCATAATTTATGTCAAGAACTGTCCTTTTTAAAACCCAGGTTTTATGGCATCGATGAAATGCACAAGACTTAGATTAGGTTCAGTATTTAGCTGAAATATTTTTGTGCTGTTTTCAAGGAATGACAAAGCTGAAATTCAACAGAATACTCACAATCGAGATGCTTTTTCTTCGGTCCAATAATCTCTTCTGTGGTGGCTTTACACACAACTTTCGCTAAACCCTGACCGGCAACGCTGAATTTCGCCGCTTGAAAGCGGTCCATCATACTTTGGGTCGACATTTTGACAGATTTGCTAACTGATCTTTAGAATTTATCGCCAGGCCCAACAATTTAGGGCCCAGGAGACTCAATAATTCTGTGACACCTATCGGCAAAAAGGGGTGTTGATCTCCTCAACAATCCAATATGGCGGTGTTCGAGGCCGAATATTTTTGATCACGTGATATGGGAGCATCCATTGTAATAGAATCTGTCATAAATTTGTGGTCAGCCAGACTTCGCTGAACTCAGTAAGACCAATAATCATTAAAAAATAAACTATGTGAATAAACAGAAAAATATTTTACACGAAAAAATTAATTAATTGAACTCATCAGAAACATGAAAAGCAATATTTGCCTAAAATATCATTCAGGATATTTATTTTATCTCATGAGTAATCTACATCTATCAGTAATCAATTTTAATTTAATTCTAAAATAAATTATAAAGTTCGGAAAAATGACAATTTCAATTACAACCCAGTTCGAGTGTTATATTATCTGAGTTTTTAGATCAAACTTTCAATCTCAATGTCAGAGATGGCTTAAGGGAAGGAAAATTCAGAGATAGGAAGGAAAGAGACATGACTTACAGCCATATGACCAAGTTTCAATTAAAATAGAGCATTGAAACAAGGTTACACCCAAATTTATTGATTTTGTATTGGGGAAGGTTATGATATATTTTATGTATGTTAAACATTGTAGAATAAGTTAAAAGTTCATTATAAGTGTTTTAAGGTAATAAAAGAAACCAGGGGCACTTCAAGTGGAGTTATAAAAAGTTGTAAATATGATGTCTATAGTAAATCATTTAGCAAGATATATAATAGCCTGATATTGGAAAATCTGAAATTCAGTCAGTTAGGCCTCTTTATATGTGCTATCTCACACAGGTCTAATCTATATTGCGATGTTTGTAGTAAATCATTTAGAAATCTATAATTTGATGTTTGTAGTAAATTATTTAGAAATCTATAATTTGATGTTTGTAGTAAATCATCTAGAAGCCTATAATTTGATGTTTGTAGTAAATCATTTAGAAATCTATAATTTGATGTTTGTAATAAATAATTTAGAAATCTATAATTTGATGTTTGTAGTAAATCATTTAGAAATCTATAATTTGATGTTTGTAATAAATAATTTAGAAATCTATAATTTGATGTTTGTAGTAAATCATTTAGAAATCTATAATTTGATGTTTGTAGTAAATAATTTAGAAGTCTATAATTTGATGTTTGTTGTAAATCATTTAGAAGTCTATAATTTGATGTTTGTAGTAAATCATTTAGAAATCTATAATTTGATGTTTGTAGTAAATAATTTAGAAGTCTATAATTTGATGTTTGTTGTAAATCATTTAGAAATCTATAATTTGATGTTTGTAGTAAATAATTTAGAAGTCTATAATTTGATGTTTGTAATAACTCATTCAGAAATCTATAATTTGAGGTTTGAAGTAAATCATTAAGATATGTATGATTTCACTATTCTGAAACACATAATGGCACCCTGTGATTGTGTTTGTCAATTATAGCTCCCATTGTAGGTAAATGAGATAATTTAATATTTCCGAAAATTTCAAGACCATATTTAATCATGAATTCTTTAAGTCTCAGGTTTTTTTTTGAAAATAAGCCCACATATAGGGCATACAAACTACATATAGTTCTTACATAGAAACAACACAAATAGACATAGTTTGATATTTTAGAAATGATTTTCTGGACCTTGTGGACTAATGAAGACGGAAATGTGATTTGAAGGCTAAGTTGAAATATTATAGCCCTTTTTTTTCAATTCCACTGATCAAGTGTAGGTAGCGAGGGTCATGTGTGTTATTTCCATGCAAGAAACTATGTAGTTTTGTAGGAGGTATAGGGACATCAAACCAAAATTATGTACATTACAACTCCATTCCCAAATATAATATAATTAGGTTACAAAACTTATAAATTTTGAAAAGAAAACAATTTTGATTTCTACCAATTTTATTGGCTACTGACTAGAGTAATCACAAAATCTACAATAAATGCCATTTTAACATAAAAATATAGAATCTTTAAAAATATAAAAATATCAGCTTTATGAACAACATTTTGTGGTATTTAATCAAATATGACATTTATCTAAGTCAAAATAATGATCTGCATAGTAATGAATAGTGATAATTCTTCAGCTGATAGAACTCATAGTTCATTATGAAAATTTATAATATTTTCATATCAAGTCAAATATGTGCACTATGCAACAAAGTAAATTTAAACAATTTAAAACCAATAAATTGAAAACAAAACATGAAATTGTAATATTCAAACCATTATAAAACGTAAAGCTTTGTACCTTAAAGTAGCACAACCCTCTTATCAATCAACCCAAAAATAACCAAATCCTTATTTGACAAAAATCCTTTTTGATGTCATTTCATAATAAAAATTTTAAAAGTAACATGATTTCATGTTGATGTTTGATGAAAATCCTAACATATCATGGTTAATAATTCTTAAACAAGGCAAAAATCACCAGGAACCCTGTTTGAAAATCTTCTAGACTATTTCACCACAAGGACCCTTCTTGTATGGTTATTTCAACAGTTTATAAACCCTAAAAGTTTTATTAGAAAAGACCAGTTTGAAATATTTGGTGAATTTAGGTGAACCATGGCGAATCTCATCACAGAATCTTGGTACAGCACTATTGACCAATCCTGGTTCCATTTTACCTTGCACAGGAATCTGAAATATAAAAAAAAAACAATACAGAACATTCTATATAAAATATTGGCCACGTAGGAATAAACAATAAAAGTTACTGCAATCATCCTGGAAAAAGTTTTTTTTATCTATTAGACATTTAACACCAAACCCCATTTGCAAAATGGCAACAGGTATTCTGGAAAAAGTGAACATGCAATGCCCTGTCTTATGATTAGTCAACCTCAATACATTCATGATATGAAAAATCCTTTAGCAACATTTATGGTAAGAGATCACATTAAGTAGCTGAACACAATTTTATGGTTATCTACTACTGGTTTTTATTGTAAACATTTCAACAATTTACATTGTAACCATCAGGTGATGATAGAACACATAAAACTGTGTCTCGTATTTAACATAATATTGACAATCCAACCCTGATGTTAAAATATAAAATTACCTACCATGCCATTATTTAGATCTATAATATCTGGTGTCGAACAAGAATCAGTTTTATATGATAAACATATACTATCTTCTAATATAATATAATCTGTTTGATACTTCTTTAATATCGTATACACCTCTACTGGTTCACGTTTACCATACATCTGATAGATCTATAAACAATATAATACAAGGTTCAATATCTCATACATCTGATAGATCTAGAAATAATATAATACAAGGTTCGATATCTCATACATCTGATAATTCTATAAACAATATAATACAAGGTTCAATATCTCATACATCTGATAAATCTAGAAACAATATAATACAAGGTTCAATATCTCATACATCTGATAGATCTAGAAATAATATAATACAAGGTTCAATATCTCATACATCTGATAATTCTATAAACAATATAATACAAGGTTCAATATCTCATACATCTGATAGATCTAGAAATAATATAATACAAGGTTCAATATCTCATACATCTGATAGATCTAGAAACAATATAATACAAGGTTCAATATCTCATACATCTGATAGATCTAGAAATAATATAATACAAGGTTCAATATCTCATACATCTGATAGATCTAGAAACTTATTATACAAGGTTCAATATCTCATACATCTGATAGATCTAGAAATAATATAATACAAGGTTCAATATCTCATACATCTGATAAATCTAGAAACAATATAATACAAGATTCAATATCTCATACATCTGATAAATCTAGAAACGATATAATACAAGGTTCAATATCTCATACATCTGATAGATCTATAAACAATATAATACAAGGTTCAATATCTCATACATCTGATAATTCTAGAAACAAGATAATACAAGATTCAATATCTAATACATCTGATAAATCTAGAAACAATATAATACAAGGTTCAATATCTCATACATCTGATAAATCTAAAAACAATATAATACAAGGTTCAATATCTCATACATCTGATAAATCTAGAAACAATATAATACAAGGTTCAATATCTCATACATCTGATAATTCTATAAACAATATAATACAAGGTTCAATATCTCATACATCTGATAAATCTAAAAACAATATAATACAAGATTCAATATCTCATACATCTGATAAATCTAGAAACAATATACATGTAATAACAAGTCAATGACTTAATATGTCTCATACATGCAATATATACAAATTTTAGGCATTAAATACGAAATCACATTGTAATTCAAGTTAAATGAGATCGTCTTCAAGATATTAACCTTCAAAGCATTGAAGTTGCGGAATTTCTGCTCTTCACAGTTTGCTTGTCAGACATCATCATGCTATAAGATTGGATAAATTTATCAAGCACTTTCAACAGTTTTGAGTCAGCATCAATCACAATGTTCATGAAACTTAAACAGATTGCATTTTCACAGAAAACCTGAAATTTCATCTTCAAATCTTCAAATAAAACACTGATAATCTTCTTACCCATTTAGTTTTTTCTCTAAGTTGTTTATCTTCATAATGTGGATGATTAGTTACAGGTCGCCCTGAACATAGTTTAACACCAGCTAATAACTGCATACTGCCAGAAAACGCTGCTATAGGCTTGGTACTCTTTCTGTGGCAAAAACAAAAGTGCATTTTCTTATACTTGGAATATCCAGAAAACACTGCCTTAAGATAAGTTCTCTCTCTGTGGAGAACATAATGTGGAGATATAATTGTCAAACTGAATTTCAGTGAAAAAAAATAACCTTTCTTTGATCCTAGTTGTGAACAATGAGAATAGTTTGTCTAAAAAACAATTTGAATATATTAAAATAAAAAGCCTTACTTGATCCATTCCATAAGTTCTACAGTATCAGGATCCCAGAATTCTCTCAAATCTTCCATTTCTTTCTGGATTGTTGGCATCCACTGAAATAACAAAATATAATGGAGATTTAGATATATGTACATGTATTAATCCCTGGCTCATGAAGAGAGACAATACTATACAGTATGCAATAAGGACAATTTTGCTAATAAGTTTCAAAGCCAATATCAATATAACCAAATTCAGATATTGCTTATAATATGATATCAATAGAATGATCTACACCCTAATCTAAAAACATACACCATCTTCACTTCTACATGTTAGTAATAAAGAAATGAAAATTGGTGGCTTTTATCAGCAGATGAAGCAAATATCTAAGTATATTGAATACTATATTAGATAAAGTATAAACTTACCAAATATATAAGAACGCCTATAGTAAGACAACTGACTGTAATTCTGATGACATTTATCTGAAATTGGAATAAAGGGTTCTAGAAACAGAAAAATATGATCAATTTGATATTTTTCTTCTAATACTTCCTTTTCTTTATAAAGATAATGCAGATCAAGTTTCAGAAAGTGCCAAAAGCAGAACAATTGCTGATTTCTCACACTTTTAGAGCACATCTTGTTGGGCTGAGACAGGACACTGTTTGAAGTGTTGGTTATATCATTATACATTAACATTTCAGCATTCAGAATACTTTTTACAAATCTTAATAAATGTAAAAAATATTCAAATATACAAACCAATTTTTCATTTGATGTAAAGAATAAAACTGTTTTATAGAGATGTTTGCCTCCAACTAGGAAACCAGCGAAAACACACATATAGGGTGTCCATAGATACTTCATCCTCATAGTGGTTATAGCTAATATACCAAACATTGTCGCTTGAACTGAAAAAATACAAAATACAGGTATTTAGGTATCTGTCAAATATTAATTGGATTACAATTTCGTATCTTTTTCTGTTTTCTGTTATTTTTGCTTATTATCAGGGATGCAGTATAATATTGGTATATTATATATAGTATAGTATATAGATACTCAAAACTGACCAATGGCACAACTGTCCAAAATATACTGCTCCTGATTGGGCATATAAACACAGATAATGACATTCAATTTCTATCCAAATTAAGGCTGAGAAAATTAGTTCAAGTAGTTTTTCCAATATTCATCATTCATATATCATGATATAAGCATATACAAAGTAAGAAAACATTAGCATTAGCTGTAATCAACGATAACCGTGTTATCACTGTATATATGTTCTTCCTATGTGTTTCCTGGTTATATTTGTATCAGAGATCTCTTTTGCTGTACAATGAATTGCCCTTATAGGGATAATAAAGTTATATATTCAAATTGTGTAGAATTGTTGCTATATATGAAGAGTTATACCTGTATGAAAAGCTAACTCTGGTCTATAAGATAATAAACTATCTTTAGTTTCTGGTGTAAATAATCTCTTCTCCGTATTAGAACTGGAAGAAATTAAAAATATACTACAAAAATAGCTTATTTTCACCCACAGCTAACTGACAAGAGTCAATTTTGCTATTAGCAAATTTAACAAATATTGACAGAAATTCAATTTTTCCCTGTGAATTGAGTCCTGGAGTGCTAGTAGGGCTTACTTTTTACATAGACAAAAATAGTCAACAGAGTTCACTAATATCACAGTGTTGTCATATCATCTTCAGTGTGGTTGTAAATGAGTGTGGTTCATTATGGAAAGACTAAGGGACAAATAACTGGTGACCTGTGTAGTGTATGAATATTGACTAAGAATAAAATGACAGTATGACATACCAGACATGTGGGGACCTGCACCTCGAACAGAATGACAGAATATATACTTACCTCCATCTTATAAAAACAGTGAGTATTAGTAACAGTAACAATACAGTATGTACTATAGTGTATAAAGGAAAGACAACTCCTGATGTTAGACTAGTATAAAAACTCCATGATAACATATTAAATATATCTAGACATAAATATAATCTTGAATCAAAATCTCTGAAAATAGAAAAATTACAGGAATAAAAGGCAATGATTAATGGTTTTAGCAGAGCCAATATAGTTAACAACTTAAAAGAAACAAGGAATAAAAACTATGCAAATGATGTCATAAGGGTAGATCATGCAAAGACTACTCAAAGAAATATATTGTATTACCTTGGATTTCCGTATCCCATTTTATTGATGAGAAATTTAAATATGTGTTCATCAGCATCTACTTGTAGAAACCACTATAAAATATACAAGGTTACATGATCATTCTTATGTTTATGTCAAATTAACAACACTTAAACCAGAATAAAGTTTAATACCAAATTGGTTTCTATCAAAGTGTTCAGAAGTAAGAAATAATAAGGGTGCTGCTTCATTAATTGAAGAAGAATTTAGTGTCCAATCATGTAAATTGGCAAATTGCTAAATTCAAATCAAGTTTCAAGAATAAGGTCCTTGGAGTTCTGAAATTTATTCGGTTACCCCTTGCAGTGGGTAATGAAGGAAATTTAAAAATTTTACCTTTAAAATAAAATGAAAAATAAAAGTTAACGATAAAACCAGTAAACTATAACCAATAACTCTTAATAATTTCACTGTAACTGAACTTTGAGATGGTTTATCTCCCTGAAATATATCAATTTATCCTGTGATATACATATTGTATGTAAAACTCGTACAATTAGTCAAATATTCAATTTCCAAACTAGTTAATTAAAGTTTGGAATCATATTTCAAAATTCCATTATTTGCACATTCATCGATTCAAACAATCTTCAAGTTTGAACAGTCACAACAATAAGTTTTGTAAAAAGGTTTTTCTTGTCTATGTATGTGTATTATTGAAACTTTGAGCTTCTATTTACATCATTTCATCCAAAATCTCTTGGTCCTTTGATTCCAGAAAAATACCATTGGGTTCAATAAAATCAAACAAATTATTGGAAAAATACTATAAGCTGTAAGTGTGTTAGATGCACATAAACAGGCCAGAAAATCTCTTTCCACACAAAAAGAAAAGAGACCTACCTTGATAAAGATAACAATATAAAAAGATAACAAGAAACTGAACCATAATCCACCCAATAACATAGTATTATAATATTGTAAATAGAACACAGTAAACAATGATAACAACTGCATAAACAGTACTCGCTGGATCTAAAACAGACAAAATTCAATTACTTAAAAGCAAGGGGCTTATTCTTCTTAATCAGTGGGGAGGAAACTTGCATACAGTTGTAGTCTGTAACACAAAGATTTGTAGAAAACTCATTTGACTCTAAAATCTAAATTTGTGAAAGAAGTGGAAGATAAAAAAGGAATGTATGATCAAAGACAAAAAGGGTGCCATAAAATTGTGGTCTAAAGCCAAATCATCAATCAATGTGGTCCAAGGGAGGTAACTTACATACAGTTGTTGTCTGTAGTCACAAATGTTTTTAATACATCATTTGACTTTTACTTTGAAGACTACATTTATTTAAGGTGTTGTAGATGATCAAGGAAAAGATGTGGTCTAAAGGAGAAAATTCACTGATAGTTGCAGTCTCTAGCCACATGCATTTTGTACTCTTCAATTAAGCTTTTAGTGTTTATAATGACCATATCCAAAAATAAAAACAAGCACCTTTCCCTAAACAAGTATCAAATGTTATATACTTATGTCATAGCAAATATCTGAGTTAAAAACCATTAAATAATAAAATATGAATCCATTACCTTAAATGAAGGAATAAAATCTAGGACCCAGACACCAAATAAAGAGATAAGTTGTAATAACATAATAAATTGATTAAACTGCCAACAGATACAGAATAAAAACGTACTTGAACCAATAAATAACAGACTGATTCTCTGAAAAATGCAAGTTAACATGGTGTTAGATGTAGGTTAGAGTGCACATGATGTCTATTGTTGTCCTAATACTGCAGAATCAATTCCTATTCCTATTTATAACTTTCTTACAAATACCATTTTTCTTCTCAATATTAGAATTTTGTTGTGTATGCAATGTAATTCAATGTAATTCTTGTGAACATGGAAGAATACTGCAAAGGGCTTTCTATTCACATTTCTTGCTTCATACAAATAGCATATCTTTGTGCTGATCAGTCAGTTATTCTGAGTAAAACTAGGGGACAGGGGTTGATACAAATTGTTCTGGTTCACGCTTTTACCTCTCCTATTCTTGAAATGTTTTTCTTAAAGAAATATGAAATGGCTGCAATCTGTACCCATAGAAATGGAAGAGCGAAACATTCTCTAAGAGGTGTGGTAAATTCAACTCTGGTTGTATTTTCTTTATTGATGGCATAAAATATGGCTGCCAAGACGCCAGCCAACCAATTATCAGCTAACATCCAAGCCATACAAAATATTCCACCAATCAAAACAGCTTGTAGATTGAATACAGAATAAACATAGAAAAATATTGGTGGTGACTGAAGAAGAAACAGAGAGTATATTATGCCTATTTTGGCTACTATTCAAAACATGAGCAGTCCATGTTATTAATAGGGCAACTATGTAGTTATAACCCAGTCTCAAAGATAGTTTGACATGCAAGGTAATATACGCCCACTGGCAGCTTTGATTTTAAATAAAAAATATTTGGCAGTACAGTAACAATTACCCTTATGAAATATTCTACCCTAAGTTATACATTTTTTTAACTTTTTGAGGCGATGCTGAATTATATTACCAAGTTTCGTCAAAATCTGTCAAAAATGCCCTAATCCCAAACCCCCACCCCCCCTTCCATTTCACATGGATGTATAAAAAAGGTAGGTAGCTCATGCTAATGTTAAGAGTCATCTCAGGATGAGCACCACCATCTTTATTGGACTATTTATGCTACCTTACCTATCAAAATTGTTCCATAAGATGTACAAAATAAATTGTAGTGTTTAAAACTTTCCTGTTACCTGTATTGCTAAGAATTTATAGAGTGAAGCAAGGATAACTTCTTGGTATATGTTCATTCGTTGTAGTATATTTATAGTAGAGGGATATTCTGTGTGATTATCCCTTACTAGAGATTGTACACCTAAAAATATAAAACATATCATAGATTAGGTTCTTAGAATCATAGTTCAGCCAGTATATATATATATATATTAAAAAAAATAAATTTCACTGCCACAAAAACAAAAATAAAAAAACAACTTAGTTAAGAAAAGATGATTATAAAAGTCCTCTCTTCATTATTTCAGTTGGTCCATCTATAAATGGATTGCAAATAAACTCAAAGTTTCATTCTTATAAATATTGATATCTCTTTAGTCTCTTGAAATACATTTTAAATAAGGTACATCCTCACCTTGAGAAATAGATTTAGACTGTATTAATTGTTTGTAGTAAGAATAAAATAAACCAGATTCAGTTCGAAACGAGATTTCTCTTTCCACTTCCTAAAATTTTAAGATTCAACATAAGATTATAAAAGTCATACATTTTACTTTTCAGGAAGGAAAGTCTGACTGCTGGTTCACATGCAATCAAATAGATAAAGCCTGCAAACGAAGTCTATGGCCTGCACATTTCCGATAACTAAGTTGTGGACGCACTAGGTAAGGAGGTGATAAGGTCAAATTTGATTGGATTCAATATGATTGTGACGATATTTTGATTAATGAAAAGTATAATACCAAAACATCCTGACAAGACATCCTTACCTTGATATTGGTAAACCACAGAGTATTTTCATGTAGAGTTCTCATGTACCAGGAGTGGGCTGCACCACAGAACATCATGACTATTAAGCCCAGTAAACAGTTAAAAATGGTGAACTTAGACACTGGCTCTGTAGGTGTTATAACTGGCTTCTTAACCTGTTTATTGTATAAGTTTGACACATACGCCTCATATTCTGTTTTGGAGACTGAGCCAGTGGTTTTTCTCTTTCGAACATGGTCTCCTTTGGCATCTCCCATATTTTTCTGTAATTTCTGAAAGAAAATGAAAAAACATATTAACTCTGACAAAAGCAAAAGAAAAATAATTGAAAAAATAAATTGAAACAGAAAAATATAAACTTTCAAAGGCAGATAAAATACCAAAAAGACAGAAAAGACTTTTGAAGCAAATCTACAATAGAATAAGACAGATAAGAATTTCTGTTTAAATATTTCTTATTTATTAAACCAAATTTCATTTGAGTTTTGGCTTCTTTGACATGTGTTCTTCACTTTTTGATGCCTTGGCTTATACTATTAGTTATATTTTAACATCTGATGCAGTAGGCCTATTGGTAAATATCTAAAGTAAAGAAAAAATAATTGGGTCATATCATTACAGAAAATTGTATTTCAAGGGTAACATCTATGTGGGCCTTCAGTCATAGGATGAATATAAACAAAGTATTGATTGATGTCTGTCTGTTTGTAGAGGGTGGGGGTTTGTAAATAAGAGACACCGACCAGTCTGAAGTTTTTTGCCGATCAAAACGTGTCAGAAAGAAATACAGTATAATGATTATGCAGATCTGCAATGGCAACAGGGCGCTTTTATAAAAGCCTCTTTAGGGAAACATTTCCTACAAATCATTTGTTAGGCTATTTAAAACAAAAATTACCTTTATGTTTTAAAATCTCCAAGTTGTCAAAATTTTGAGTTACAAGAGTTATCCCGCAAAAACAAATAAAGTCCCACCTGGTGAGCAGGTTAGGTTTTAAGGAGAAGTTCACTGCTTCTGACAAAGTGTTTTCAGACCACAAAAGTTTCTTACCTTACATGGAGTTATTTCCCATGGATCAATCATCAGAGTACACCGCCAAACTATTCGAAAAAAGTCGAATTGATTCAAATATACGCCAAATCTTACGAAAAATAACCACTTGCTTTGTCAGGTGAGTAACTGTCCGAAAGCAGAATTACCTGGTTTCTTATATTCTTGGAACCATAGGAAAGGCATTGCGGATAAGTAGGTCCAGATACAGTGCCAAATTGGTTGGGAAAAGTATTCTTTTCCTCAATAATGTGTGTGTATTATAATAAGTAGGCCTACTGAAAAATAGTAAGGCCAATGTTGGTTCTGTTCGCAAACGCGGAAGTGCTGGTGTGCGCATACATCCAACCCTCTCCTATTCCATGTTCATCGACGTATGTGGCAAAGCTAACTCATATTTTCGAAACCATTGGGATTCTATATGCTCAGAAAAAAATTAGACGCTTTTTTCTCGAGCAAATATGAAATGGTGCTGCACTTTTATTATAGAAGCGAATAACGTGCCAAAACATATATGATTAAATTCTCCACTATAATTACCCTTCTGTCAGGTTTATAACATGTGAACTAATATTATTCATTTTTATCACCGGGTCGTGATTCATTAGAACCGATCCTATTGATCACATGCATGACAAATGTTCTGACAACCCGTCGGCCATGTTCGCATTTTTTAAAAATCCGATTTTCGTATTTCCTCTCACATGGAGGTCTCGCCCCTCTCCGCCCATATCAATCTCACCCCTTTATAATTCTATGTTCACTGCAGTTAATTTAGCGGTTTATATCAGGCCATATTTTCCGAACGTGTCAAAAATACAAGATTTGGTCCCATATCTTTTATTTATTTTACATCCTTTCTTCATTGTCAGTTTTAACTTCGTCAGGGAAAAACGTTTCAAATCCCTAGATCCTCACACCTTCATTATGCAAGAACGTGCAATTAGGGAGAAGATAAGATAGACTGCGAGGGCGTTTGGGGAAATAACAGCGGGCACCTGCTCAAACATCTATAGTTGGTGGTCAATAATGATGAATAGATGGTTTATATGTACTACTGTATACAACACATTGAATACAGATATCGATACATGTATCAAATTTGTAAAATTATGTTTAATGATATGAAAAAAAATCAAAAGAATTAATCAAGACATGCCGGGCTCTTCCATGAAAATATAATGCCTACCTATATCGCTCTATAATTGATGTATTGAGCACCATTTTAAGAGTATGGTATTTTTATATCGCTCTACAATTGATGTATTGAGCACTATTTTTACAGTGGTATATCTATATCGCTCTACAATTGATGTATTGAGTACTATTTTAACAGTGGTATTTCTATATCACTCTACAATTGATGTATTGAGCACCATTTTAAGAGTATGGTATTTTTATATCGCTCTACAATTGATGTATTGAGCATTATATTAACAGTGGTATTTCTATATCGCTCTACAATTGATGTATTCAGCACTATTTTAACAGTGGTATTTCTATATAGCTCTACAATTGATGTATTGAACACTATTTTAACAGTGGTATTTCTATATCGCTCTACAATTGATGTATTCAGCACTATTTTAACAGTGGTATTTCTATATAGCTCTACAATTGATGTATTGAGCACTTTTTTAACAGTGGTATTTCTATATCACTCTACAATCGATGTATTGAGCACCATTTTAAGAGTATGGTATTTTTATATCGCTCTACAATTGATGTATTCAGCACTATTTTAACAGAGGTATTTCTATATCGCTCTACAATTGATGTATTCAGCACTATTTTAACAGTGGTATTTCTATATCGCTCTATAATTGATGGATTGAGCTCTATTTTAACAGTGGTATTTCCATATCGCTCTACAATTGATGGATTGAGCACTATTTTAACAATTGTATTTCTATATCGCGATGAACATTTCTATTTCGCTCTATAATTGATATATTCAGCACTATTTTAACAGTGGTCTTTCTATATAGCTCTATAATTGATGTATTCAGCACTATTTTAACAGTGGTAATTCTATATCGCTGTATAATTGATGTATTCAGCACTATTTTAACAATTGTATTTCTATATCGCGGTGAATATTTCTATTTCGCTCTATATTTGATGTATTCAGCACTATTTTAACAATTGTATTTCTATATCGCGATGAACATTTCTATTTCGCTCTATATTTGATGTATTCAGCACTATTTTAACAATGAAAATATTGTATTATTTTAATAAATTATTGCTTTTTATAAGTTGAAACGTGTCTACTGTATTTGTTTTTATATTTACCCCAAAATAATAAATATTAAAAACTATATTTCTGTCAATTTGAATAGTTTGATCCAACTTTGAAAGCGGACGTTAGTGAAAACATTACACCCTCGCCACGCCCAGATAAATTAATAGTTCCGTTTTAAAATTAATTTTCATCAAGAAAAGTGAGAGCCAATTAAAAGGTGACATTAAATTTGACATGACTGAAATTCCAACTTGTTATTCCTCGACATGTTTCCTACTCGTACAAAGTTTGTTTTCTTTTTTATTCGAAACTTTGACATCTTTTGAAGCTAATATTTAATTATTTTACATCATTATTAAACGATTTGACACCACGTCAGTTAAACACCCAAAATCTTTGATCTTTTTGTCTCATCTTATTTTCTTAATCAATTTAAAGACTTTAAGAGAGTTTGTTAGAAACTTATTTAATTTTATTCAATTCATCTTGTTTGTTATTTTTATGACACTAAATTCCCCTTACTATTCACAAGCACGTGTTTATGCAAATTAGTTTGTGTAAAATAGTTCGAGTTTGTCAGCGGAGGTAGATTAAGACGGATTACAAACAAATGGTGTAATAATACAAACGATTGACATCTGTCACGAGTCTTTAGATTTAAAGTTTTGGAGAAAAATATCACATTCATACATTTCTTCTATAACACAAAAGCAAATAAACTGTGACATTTATCCAATATTTTGATTTTTTTTTCTTTTTCAATTTTTATATCTAAAGTTTTCTTTCTTGTTGGGCCTATACTTACAAAGGGATGTGATATTCCTTTAATCTGATAAATTAATTGTTAATTTCTAACGAGAACATATCATCAATTTATTGTTGTTTAGCAGAGCTCAATCCATAACAGTTGCAAAAATTCAAAATATAAAAAACCAAATCGTTTATTAAAATAAGGCATTTAGAATCCAAATCTTGCAAGATACAACATCAGAGAGAGCATAATCCAATTTATAATATTATACATATGTATCTAGCTTGAAGGCTGAAAATTTCTAAACCCAAGTTCTCCTTTCGAAAAAACAAAAGCTGAAAATCAAAAGGTGGTAATCTAAAACAATGCTCTTCCTTTGTAAATCTCAAATCCAATATAGTTTAAAATATAGAGTTTGTTTTTTACATTGAAACTTCAACAGAAAAACACTATTTTATTGTTTTAAAATCATTTAACCCTTTGATGTACTTTCAATGGTTGTATTCCTTGAAATACTGCAAGATAACCACAAATTTAAAGGATGCTGAAAGTCCCACCAAGATATGATTTTTATCTTTACCACAATTTTTACCTTCAACTTTGGATCATATTCCTGATGATGATATATTCTGTGACTCATGTCAAGTTTTGGAGAAGATTGTGCACATAGTTAAATTATATCAAAGTGGTTTATCATTCATTTTTCTTTAAAACTTGCGTCATTGCACCATCGTAGTCGCAACATCAAGTTTTTCTTTTATCAGAAATTTAGATTTGATAAGTATTATATTCTTGTCGGACAATTCATTTTTCTTCAACAGAAAATTAGATTTGAAAAGTATATTTTTTTTTATAATGGTACACAGAGAACTAAGCTTTCAAATTACAGAATTTAATGAATTTTTGTTTCAAAGTTGCTGCTTGCATTTAAGATTTGTAACAGAATGTACAATATAGATGGTTAGATTGAAAAGCAAATCCCCAAATACAACCTTATCATTACCATAGATATATTCAAGTTAAAAAAGATGAAATGCTTTGATGTAGGCTTTGGGTGTTTCATATTAATATTGGCGATAAGGCTCTGTTTAAACGGTCAAATAATTGTAGTCAAACATTAAAGAAAGCGGTTTAAGGAGAAATTCATTAGACTTTGACAATCGACAAGGAAAGTTTGAGGAGGGGATAAAAACACCCTCTACATATATATTGTTCCTCTTTCAAACTTCTAACGACTCTTTTTGTTCTCTTTTTAAATCCCCAAACATTAAAAAGATAAGATAGGGGACTGTCTATAAAAAAGGAGTAAGACCTAAATCAGAAATGACTCCTGGATGAAAAGATTTCTAAGGCAAAAGGTCGAAGCGATGCCGTGATTAAAGAATATTTTGGGCAAAAATGTAAAATAAGCCAGTTAAGAAGATGGAGGAACCCTCTATCTAATACAAGTAAACAAAATATAACTATGTCTTTGCCCCATACACCGATATATAGCGGTACATCAAAGGAATATGTAGCCAAAATCTCTTTGAAGTCGCCGACAAGGTATATTATTCAATATAATCTAATATATTTAATAAGAAATAAAGGTATCTAACTTTGCTTGTTTTGTCCTCAATACACGTGAGGTATCTTACCATTTCTCTCCTTGAAGATTTGGTGGGGGCGGAGAAGTTTTACTCTTCATTATTAAGGTAGAAAACGTCTGAATAAGCGCGGGTAAATGAGTGCTGGTATTTAGCGGTAAAATGAAAGAGGGAAAGTGGGCGCTGTCCACTACATATTTCTTATTGATATCAAGATGAGGAGCGTTCTGTTTGTTTTGAAGATGATTCATAGCTGATATTATGTGATCTGGAATGAACTATTTTCATGGTATACCTTATGTTATATTATGCTGTTTGCATCTTTTTTTTTTAGTCAAAAATAGAATTGTTATTTAAAATGAAACAAGGAGCCATCAAAATTCACCTATGCTTTCTTTTATGAATATTCTCACTTTATTAAAGTGTTTTGTCTATCGAGAGTAGTGAGCGATCTGAATTGTGAATAATATTTTTGTGTGTGTAAAAAAAAGAAACATTTCAACTAAGAAACATATCTTCATCTGTTTCCTGGTCCATCTTTTGTGCAGTTATGGTTGAACACTCCACTCCTCCATGCTTTAAGCTACAACTTTAAAGAGCCCACACATCTATAAAACATCACTGTACTTCAACCTTCAAATTTTTTTCATCAAAATGCATAATTGCATATCTATTTTATATGCATTAAGAACACATTGTAATTTCAAGGATTAGAATTTATATTTGTATGGCCTAATGTGGCACGCGCTTTGAACTCATCACTTTTCATTGATAAAAAAAATGAAGTCGAGATTATCCAGACACTATGTAAACAGATTAAAGATTTGAAAGTGAACTGCTGTTGACATATAGAATATAAATATAATGATAAAAAGAACAAGGTATATTCGGTTTATCTTCTTTTGCCATTTTAATGTGCATCTTTGAAGGATCGGTCATGAAGTTAAATTATATCCTGAATAGAAGTTATCAGATATGTTCGTTGTGTAACATACCCTGAAGTGGAAATAAAACAACATGAAAAGCAGAGTACACGTACACTCTTTATGTCTACGAAGGTACATTTGATCCAAACTAATCGTTAACAGTTATACCAGTAACAGTGGCGTTTCTAGGAAACATCAGTATCAGGTGAGGGGGGCGAGCAGGGGCCTCAAACTAGATGGTCAGAGAGCATTCCTTCAATATGTAAAATCATAACAAAGTTCTAATGAGCAAGTAATCCGAATCATCCAGACAGATCTGCCAAACGTTTATCCAGCCTCTTGTCTACCTTTCAAGGATTGTTTCAATAAAGATCTGTACATGCAAAACAATTCCAGTATCCAAAAAATCTCGTCCAAAGCAATGATAACTAATTGCACTTTTACAAACTTGTTTCCTTCTATCAATGTTGTAGATAGGTTTAGGCTTATTTTTTAAGTTAACACAACGGGTTGTGCGAAAGGTTTGTTATTTACTGAGTAGGTAACACGTGAAGTCATCTTTCTTATTGCAATAAGAGCCGACTTTGTAGATTCAGGTGCTTATAATGTTACGACCACTATCCCCCCCCCCCCCCTTCCAGCCCTACCCCTCGAAAAAGATAAACACAATGGATAAACCAAAATAGTTTATTATAGTCAAATTTAAATTGCATTTCTCTAAACACTGATCTAATAGCCGCAATCTTTCCTTGTACATCACAAACGTTTTCCTGCTTCCTGACAAATTGCGTTTGTGTCTTGTTCATCTATACCTCTGCACTATCTCAATGCCTTAGTGTCCATCAAATTGAGCCATAACAGACTCCACACCACTGACGATTATGTTTGTCGTCGAAATGCTGATCACGTTGAATCCATACCACATGGTAAATCAGTTGATATTGTACCATTTACTCCTCTGTTTTGAGACATCGTCCAAAAAATCGTCGGAATGATTTGAAAATTACCCTCTTAGGTTTGATCGTTTGAACTGAAAAAAACAAACAAACAAATTATTCAATGTTAAATGAATGATATTAAATCGGTCAACTCGTCTACATGTCAACCCGTCTACTTGCCACCGTACATGTCAACTGGTCTACAGAGTGAAATGACTCGTCTACTTCCTACAGGGGACTCGCCTACAAATCAGCATAGGCTACACAATTTGCTTGAAGTAAAAAATTAGTATCTATAATCAATGTTACTTGATAATATAAACTGTGCTCAATTTTAATAGCCTTACTTTCTTGATCACATTTAACCACATCTTCAGTTTGAGTGGCCTTATTTTCTTGTCGAACCATTTCACTTGGTAATATATCACCAGTTCCTCCAAGGCGAGAGTCGGCATTATTCCTTAGAACATGGTGGACATTAAATTGTATTTCTGGTACCCCATCTGTAAAAAAAAGATTGAATTATAGAGTGGAATGGAGTTTTACTTCTTAATTTTCTCTTCCTGATTGAAATGAAATGTATTAAGAAGCATCAGCACCAAACGGGCTATATAGCTCCATCTTCCTGATTGAGTTAAACGAAGACTTTCAAAGCGATACAGTATTTACATGTGATATACAGGCACATGCAATGTTAGCATGTGATTTCTTCGAACCCCTTCCTACCCAAAAATATTCTAAAACACCACTGACAACCTCAATGCTTACCTTCATATTTGGAGATCTTTGACACCCCAAAGAACTTCAGGAATCTTTCCACGAATCCAGATTCATTTTGTACATCTGTATTACATGGTTTGTCGTCAAGAAACCCGAAGAACTCCTTTTCGTAGTTCCGGTATTCCTCAACCGTCATGGGCGGTATGGTATACTCCGGTATCTCTCCAAAACAATAGGGCGGTCTCGGCATATACTTCTTAGACATCCTGGAATAGAATAGAATTGGTTTATTATATTTTAGGTTTTTACTTGAATTGTACAGTTTTTCAATACAAAACCTTGACCCAGGTCGACTGTTTATTCTTAACATTTCATGGGGCTGTACTATTATCAGATTGTAATTATTAATAAAAAAGATGATCACGAGCAACAGATGGTAATTGGAGGTATTTTTTCTGTCTTCAGGTTTTCCCAAATAGACTAAATCTAGCAATTGATCGGATTCTCCTATTATAGATTTTGCCACTAGACGTCGTCCGTCTCCTTCAGATTTCGTTCAGTTTGAAGGAATTCAAGAATACGCATACGAAATGCATAAAGTGCCAAATTTGTCATTTTCACCAATGATTTACAAATATGTTCCAAATAACATATATATATTGCCGGTATGTTTTCGATAGATTTCATGTTCTCAAACAATTTGTTAATTTGATTAAAAACGCAATTCAACTATGATTTTAATCTAGCGTGGCTACAGTTCGCTGTAATGATAAAAGCAATCGTTCTACCTGTAGTTTTTTGATAAATTTGTTCAGTTTGTGTAAAATTCTCACCTGAAAATCCAGCTAAATTCGTTAAAATTCTGAGAGAAATTTATGAAAGCGTCCTTTAAGCAACCATAAATATCTGCTTGTGACGTCATACTATTATATTATGTATTTTAATTGTTAACGTCATAATAAAGGCAAAATTAAGAATTTGTTCGACCAAAACCACCCCACCCTACCCCTTTTTTTTAGCTTAAATTACATTTTATGAATTACACCCACTTTGCATTATCTATCATTTTTGGACACAGTTTTCACCTCAAAGTCAAAATTAACATTGAAATTCACACGTAAAAGCACTATAAAGCATAATATTATTGATTGAGAAAATATATCATTTATTGAGATTTCATTTTTTTGGAAATCTTTTTATGTACTGTAGCGAGCAAATGCCCCTTCAGTATCCCACTGGTGTCGCACTTATTTGAGCACCCACCATATTTGGCGCTGATTTTTTGAAACATATTGTGTTAGTTACTTCCCTCGTGGGTATAGGGGTATAAAGTATAAAGTTTTTATAAGTTTAGTGTAGGTGTAATTAATTTCTCTTAGAAATTCAACCAGAATGTTTTTGTATTATTCAAATCTTTCATAAATTCATAACGATTTAGTGATCAAAACATAATTATCATAGTGGCAACAATATTCTTCTCTGATATTTTGGATTAGGAAGATTATGGATTTTCATTTCTTATCTTCTATATTATTAAATTATATCACAAATTCCCAAAAAGGGGAAACCAATTAAAACTATATTATTGTACTGATATTTGACGTTTCGGCTTACTGACTTTTTCAGACGTGACAACCATCAAACAGTTTGAGTATTCTAAACTTTAAATAGTTAGTAAAATAACGGAATAAGATGTGATCGAGATCTATTTTGGGTGTTTCTGAAGAAGGCAGTAAGCCGGAACGTCAAATAACAGGACAATAATATAGTTCTATATTATTATTTAAACTAACCGCCAGGGGCGTTTTAAAAAACAACCCCGAGCCAGCCTCTTTTCTGGGGCATACTACGTTCCCGTGCCTGTGCTTTCGTTACTTTACTTAACTACAATGTTACAAAATATAAAATTCCTAACGGGAAAGAAAGAAAGAGGATTCAACTGATCCATACATTTCGATCGTTACTTTACTTAACTACAATGTTACAAAATATAAAATTCCTAACGGGAAAGAAAGAAAGAGGATTCAACTGATCCATACATTTCGATGCAATCGTTCTACAAATAGTTTTACGATAAATTTGTTCTGTTTGTGTAAAATACTCACCTTAAAATCCAGAAAATTCCGTAAAATTCTCAGAGAAATTCTTTATAGCGTCTTTTAAGCAACCATAAATATCTGCTTGTGACGTCATACTACTATATTATGTATTTTAATTGTTAACGTCATTGTAAAGTCAAAATTAAGAATTTGCTCAAACCCTATTCCTCTTTCATTGGAGGCTCCAAATAAAGGAGAAAAATTGTGGAGGGGGTGGGGGATAAAGAAAAAGGCAATGTGGAAGAAGGAAGCTATTAGCACTTTTGGAAATTCTTCTGTCACAACTAGGCTATATAGAACTACACAAAACGGATGTTTATTTGTGGAAACAAGCATTATTTCGTTATAGTGATATTTTAAGATTACTCTTTCAAACTGCAAGAATGCAGGTATAAAAATATTCTTTCGTCCTTTTGGGGTTAAGGATACAACGTTGTAATCATGTTCCTGATTGGACAAGATAAACGCTTTGAATCAATGAAATGATGTTAATGTACATTTCAACCATGGTGACATTGAATCTTTGACGAACTTTTGTTGGCTTTTGAATGTTTGTCTTAGAGTCTGAATGATAATGGCTATGTGGGTAGATTTTTTGTTATTGTGTTTTATCTCAGTGTTTCTGTAATTAATAAGCGGCGATTTTTTGGGCATACTGAGAACTCCGGCCATCCGACGCGTTTCCGGGGACGAATATTTTTTTCAGTTAAAAGAACAAGCTGGAAAAGCATTCTCACGATAAGTTTCACATTGGGATCGAGATGCTAGGAAACTCATTGGTCCGAGAGTCTAAAGCTGTCCACCCCTGGAGAGACATGGTTGGTTGGTAGGTGACAAGTTAACGTTCGCTTCCAGTGGATGCTGATATCGCAAACTAGTTGGTAGTCGTAGTAGTTGGTAGTTAGATCGTTCCTGTACAGACTACGCCCCGATTTCAAAGTTTTTTTTAAACGATAATTTAATAAGTAATAATAATTTAAAGTACATGCGTTATTGCACAATATCGCTCCGGACAAGACCTAAAACATACAATTCTTGGCAACTTTGTGCTTGAATATAGTCAATTGTTTGGAGTGTAACTCTTGGCAGTGTCCGTAAAGCTGAATCAGCCACAGTATTAACTGGAACGAATCCTATATAATGGATACACTTTTCGGTCCTAGATTCAAACTAACCAGGGATAATATATGAACGAAGCGGAGTAATTTTGTCGAGTCAAATAAACTATAATATTAAAGTAGCTGGTTTACAAAGGCATTGTTATTGACAGGTTGGTCTCAAGTACTCTCAAAATGTAATAACATACACTGTTGACACAATCAGGGTAAGACTAATATTCTCTCCCGAATTCTTACATGAAACGAAACTATATAAAATTGATGTCAAAATCTTTTTGATCCCGAAGAAATAAAATGGGTGTTCTTTATGTTTCTTTCTTTAATTTCCTCTTTTATTCTTTGTATATTAAATTTCTTACATAAACTTATTTGATTAGGCATTTCAATTTTTCTCTTCGCCATTCTTTCATTTCAGAATATATTTTCTAATCACAAGACTTGAAAGAAAGCTACACTATATTTTAGACTGTAATTTTATGGTCTCTCGATGAGCCACCCTGGGAGATAATATATACTGACATAGCTTATGGAGATTTTTCTAGAATTCTGTTATGATTTCCGGTATGGACCAAACGGCATTACCTGAAAGTTCTGCTATCTCTCTGCAGCATATCACGGTAATGAATGACAGACTATTATTTACCTGAACTATGTCAATATTGTCTGGTAATATAAAATACAAGAAATTACATTATGACCTTCGGTCAAGGCTACAGATATACTGAAGTTCGAATTAAATGAACGCCATGGGTATCATAATATGTTAAATCATTCAATACCTATCTGAAAGTAACGCTCTGAAACCTTGGACGGAAGTACAACAATCCAGAGTCATTAACTTCTTGTGATCAATACAAAACAACTTCTACTTCCCCTTTTCCTATATATTTTTCAAGATATATTTTGAATACGACATCTCACACTAATGTATTTATTATGCGTTCCGTTAACGTTTTGTTTTTGGGTTGTCTTTTCAGAGGTTTTCATTTCCTAAATTCGCCTGGCAGTTGAATGTTTTTCGATAATAAACCATGATTTTATTATGATATTCGTTCTAATAGTCTGCAATATCAGTTACCTTGAAGAACACGTTCATTTGTCATCTATCAACAACAACCTTATATGCGATATCAGTTAGCTGGGAGCTGACGTTGACTTTCATTATACAGCAACTAGTTAAACTGCGATATTAGCTAACTGGAAGCGGAAGTTAAATTGTCAACTGCAAACCAACCAACAATGATGTTCTCCATGTTTCCTCGTCTCTGATTGTGATGAACAGTATATAGCCTCTGAGATGACATGAGATGAATATTTTCTCACATTGGTATCAACTAGGTCAAATTGTCTTCATAAATATGGACGAAGATCACCCAACACCGAGGCTTGAAACTCGTCACCTGCATCTTAATTGGGTCAATTGACGAGAAGCTGGAGCGTAAATTTATTCTCAAGTTAAATTATGTCAACCTTGCTTCCTATCTTATTATTTGTCTATCTTCTCTAACTCTGATAATCTCCCTTTAATCTCCTTGGTGATCATCACCATAGTGTTCAGAATACTGTCCTCCATTTTAATTTACCTTCACGACAGGAGAACACCTCACAAAATCTACTTAGATATTCTCAAGTTTATGTTACCCTCTTAAAAACATCATAGTGATAATTCTGATAGCCAAACTCGTATTACTGCGGGTCGGGTTCACATGACAACGTTATTTCGACCTACAAGCATAGACGATGTAACTTCTGCTTCGCCGCCATTTTGTTTCAGTTTTCTGTTAAGTGTGCTTTTTCGTCGTTCGTCTGAATAAAATCATTGAAATCGGCGACGCACCTACTTGATTTGTTTTGAGCAGCAAAAAAAGAAATTAAATCTTGTACGACGAGATTAGGTATAGTCTACATGTAGTTTCATACATGTTTTAAACCAGTTTCAACTTTGACATTTAGTTTGCAAGTTAAACTGTGCAGATATGCATGCGGTCTGCTACTCCATGAAGGATTATCGACCATGGGCGACCATTGGGTTATGTCACCGACAATGGTACGGCTATGGTCGAATAAGTCAATCCCCGTATCTTCAAGGAATTTTTTTTAAAATTTGACTAATATCTTTGACACTTCCTCAAATTATGCGCTTCCGGGAGAACTAGTTTTTTTTCTGGTTTGAGTTGTTTATGGTCGCAGTCGGGGGTAGGCTACCTTTTCATATCAACATTGAATGTTGAATGAATATTTGTTTTATGTAGGCCTAGTCTTATTGTTTGCTTGTTTTGGCTTAGTTCCCTTATTATTGATCCCAGGGACCCTTCTTACTTTGACTATAGATGGCGTCATTTATCACTACTAAAAATGGCCTAAGCTTTTTAGTAGATGCTCAAAGAAAACTCCCCAAACATTCAGATTGGAATCGTACTGCGTGTCATAGAACTAGTTAAAAGTCTACTCAGACGTAGAAAAAAGGATTGTAAAAATATCTGAAAGAAAATCACATTCAGAACTCCCATTTCCGGTTTCAGTGAGTACAAGCTCGCTAGCTGACATTCTGGCAATCCTAGAGCGTGATTTTACTAAATACATTATCAACGAAACGCCATTTCTAAAATTCTCTCTTAAAGACTCAATCGTTAGAAAAACTATTATAACGTGACACTCGTCTTATTTGTTTCAAATTCTTCAAATTCGCGTTCGTCACCTGTGTT